AAGACAAAGGGTAGTAGTGGACGGAAAATATTCAACATAGTGCTCAGTTATGAGTGGTGTACCACAAGGATCTGTTCTGGGTCCTCTTCTATTTGTGATTTTTGTAAATGATTTGGATGAAGGAGTGGAAGGGTGGATTAGCAAGTTCGCGGACGATACAAGGGGGGTCACGTTGTGGACAGTGCGGAGGGCTGTTCTAGGTTACAAAGGGACATTGATAGAATGCAGAGCTGGGCTGAGAAGTGGCAGACGGAGTTTAACCCTGAAAAGTGTGAGGTGATTCATTTTGGAAGGACAAACTTGAAAGCAGAATACAGGGTTAACGGAAAGATTCTTGGCAGTGTGGAGAAGCAGGGGGATGTTGGGGTTCATGTTCACAGTTCCCTGAGAGCTGCCACCCACGTGGATAGAGTTGTTAAGAAGGCGTGTGGTGTGTTAGCTTTCATTAATAGAGGGATTGAGTTCAAGAGCCGTGAAGTTATGCTCCAGCTATACAAAACCCTGGTTCGGCCACACCTGGAGTATTGCGTCCAGTTCTGGTCACCTCATTACAGGAAAGATGTGGAAGCGTTAGAAAAGGTGCAGAGGAGATTTACCAGGATGTTGCCTGGAATGGAGGGAAGGTCTTACGAGGAAAGGTTGAGAGAGCTAGGGCTTTTCTTTTTAGAACGACGAAGAATGAGAGGTGACTTGATAGAGGTGTACAAAATGATCAGAGGTATAGATAGAGTAGACAGCCAGAGAATTTTTCCTAAGGTGGAGGTTGCTTTTACGAGGGGACGTAGTTTTAAAGTGAAAGGAGGTAGAGATGTCAGAGGTAGGTTCTTTAGTCAGAGAGTGGTAGGGGCGTGGAATGGATTTCCAGAGAGGGTAGTGGAGTCGGCCTCATTAGGGGCATTTAAGCGGCTATTAGATAGGTATATGGAAGATAGTATAAGGTAGCAGTGGAGGTTAGATAGACCTTAGGTTTCGGGTAAAAGTTCGGCACAACATCGTGGGCCAAAGGGCCTATACTGTTCTATGTTCTATGTTCTATGTTCTAATAAATAAAAGATAACTACAGGACCCTGACTGGCTAATCCCAGGAACAGTCTGTTATATTGCACTGGGTGGAGCTTATCTTGTGATATCATTTAACTTTGAAAGTACTAACTGCCTTACACAACAAATCCTTAAAAGTTTTTATCTGTTTGTTAATTTCTATGTAATATTGTTTCTAGGTTACCACTGTCATATTCACCTACCATCAAGTCTCTGATTTTATAAATGACTGATAACTTGATTGAGTTGAAAATCTGCCACTTGAGAACAAAATGTTCAGGTACATTTTATTGTCACTTTGGAAACTTGGTGAGTCTTTGATTTCCTGGATACTCTTTGCTGAGGATGTCTTCTGGAATCAATGTCACTGTTGAAGGTTTGTTTATCATGGCCAGATCTTTAGTTTCCTCAAATCCTCAAAATTATCAGAGAAAAACCAAAAGAACTGCAGATGCTGAAAATCAGAAACAGCAATTTTTGTTTTCGTTCCATATCAGAGAAGACTGGTTAGCAAGATTAGATCACATGGAATAGAGGGAGAACTAGCTAATTGGATACAGAACTGGCTTGAAGGTAGAAGACAGAGGGTGGTGGTGGATGGTTGCTTTTCAGACTGGCGGCCTGTGATCAGCAGTGTGCCACAAGGATTGGTGCTGGGTCCATTGCTTTTCATCATTTATAAAAATAATTTGGATGTGAACAGAGGAGGTATAGTTAATAAGTTTGCAGATGACACCAAAATTGGAAGTTTAGTGGACAGCAAAGAAGGTTGCCTCAGAGTACAACAGGAACTTGATCAGATGGGCCAAAGGGCCAAGAAATGGCAGATGGAGTTTAATTTAGATAAATGTGAGGTGCTGCATTTTGGAAAGGCAAATCAGAGCAGGACTTATACATTTAATGGTAAGGTCCTGGGGAGTGTTGCTGAACAAAGAGACCTTGGAGTGTAGGTACATAGTTCCTTGAAAGTGGATTTGCAGATAGATAGGATAGTGAAAAAGGCATTTGGTATGCTTTCCTTTATTCATCAGTGCACTGAGTATAGGGGATGGGAGGTCATGTTGTGGCTGTACAAGACATTGGTTAGGACACTTTTGGAATACTGCATGCAATTCTGGTTTCCCTGCTACAGGAAGAATGTTGTGAAAATTGTGAAAGGGTTCAGAAAAGATTTACAAGGATGTTGCCAGTGTTGGAGGGTTTGAGCTATAGGGAGAGGCTGAATAGGCTGGGGTGTTTTCCCTGGAGCATTAGAGGCTGAGGGGTGATCTTATCGAGGTTTATAAAATCATGAGGGGCATTGGTAAATAGACAAGGTCTTTTCCCCGGGATGGGAAAATCCAAAACTAGAGGGCAGGGGTTTAAGGTGAAGGGGAAAGATTTAAAAGGGATTTAAGGGGTAACTTTTTCACACAGAGGGTGGTGTGTGCATGGAATGAGTTGACAGAGGAAGTGGTGGAGGCTGGTACAATATTTAAAAGACATCTGGATGTGTATATGAATAGGAAGAATTTGAGGGATATGAGCTAAATGCTGGCAAACGGGACTAGATTAATTTAGGATATCTGGTCAGCATGGACGAGTTGGACCGAAGGGCCTGTTTCCGTGCTGTATATCTCTGACTCTATGACTCTAAGATAATTATGTTGCAAGTTATACTGACATGTTCTTTCTTTCCTTGCTCATAAATATTTTGGATAACATTGTCATTTGATTAAGTTCAATCATGGATGGTAAAGCAGACTGAGTGAGTTTGCTAACAAGGTGCAGAGCTGGATGAACACAGCAGGCCAAGCAGCATCCTAGGAGCAGAAAGCCTTTCTGCTCCTATGATGCTGCTTGGCC